GTCCTGCACTTGTGACTGCGAACTATTAGATGAAGACCACAGTTACAGTTTCATACATCTGGATTGCACATGGACTTCGGTTGCACATGTTCAAATCAACAAAATAAACTTTGTTTATTTTTCTTTTACAGGAAAGTCTCAGATCATTACGAATTGTAAAGATTCAATTTTGGAAGGAAACCATTGAGATTTTCTTTAATTAACACAGAATTCCCTTCCTGTGATAGGTTTCAAATTTCTTCATCAGAAAACAAGGAAACAGAACAGTGCAATACATTGTTTATCGCCCACACTGGCGACATATAACGCAAAGTTTGGTATGGACATATGATAACAATGTACAACATTTGTTTCCTTTTGTGTGAAAAGGGACTGTGCTTCCACTGTTGCAAGAGCCAGGGATGCTTTCATGGGGATAAGGTTGAGCAAGTGTGGCAGCAACAACATCGTGATGCGTGAAGGCAACATTGTTTCCGATCATGGACTGTGCTCCTTACACCTCCACATCAGATGTGACGAGGAGGGGAGATACAGCAGTATCTACTTTTCATGCTCTACAACTTGTCTACAAAAGATTTTATGAGCCAATCGCTCTTGCGCCAGAAGGCAGATAATCGGCAGAAGATAAAACTCTGACATTCGCCAACCTGGCCACATTCCGTTCTCATCTTTTGTAACTTGAACGAGGACTGTTTCACAAACATATACACATTACTGGCGGTGTTTGAAGTTGGTGTTTGTCAGAGACGTTAAAGCATCATAAAAAGCTGCCGTTTTCAGCACTTGAGACAATTTGCACTGCTTCTCCTTCCGACAGACCAGGCCACAAAGATGGAAGTACTTCAATGTCTGCCTTCTCCACCACCTTGGTGCTGCTCCAGGAGAATGGCAACACACATCTGTAAAACACAGCCTCCATGTGAGACGGCACCACACGGCCAATCACACGAGTCAGTGTAATGATAGCTCCCGATATCATCAACAAATCTGTTCTTGTTGATATTGCCGCTGATTGTTAACTGTAACATTTACGTCTCTACATATGCACAATTCTTCTATTCATGGAACGCATGGGAATATATTTTTTTAATGTACAGATAATATTTGTCTTCATATTCTTACATATCCTTTGTAAATGTCACCTCGGCATGTGTGAAACATGGGCTACTTCATGAAATAAACTTTTCCTCCAGTCAAACTGTGTCAGCAAACCCCACAGGAAGTACTGTTACCAACGCCAGAGAAGGTAGGGTCCGGTATGAGATTGCAATGTTGAAAGTATATAAGCCGAACCGGAGTCTCAGAGCTCTCTACAGATGAAGTAAGAAAACAATCAGCAAAGGAAGTGGTTGGAGTTCGCTCAGAAACATTCCTGTGTGTAATACACACCAAACTACTACACACATCGGGAGAAATATTACCCACACTGGAAGAAATATTACCCAAACCCGGCTCTGGTCCTGCTATGGGATCCTGACATTAGCAGAGCAAGTAATACTTACAGTCTAGTACATTGACAACTTTAGAAACTGGCGGGCAGGTTCAAGATATCATACATTTCAAAACACCTTTTAGAAACAGTCTAGAGGAAAACAGCATTAACAAGCCATTCCACCTTAAAAAAGCCATTCCTTTGAACCTTGTGAAATTAACATAAAAATAATCAACTACAAACAATTATTTCAAAAGGAACTAACATTAATGTTAAATGTAAAGAATCTATCACATATTTGCAAACATATACCAAAAAAACACCTTAGACACGTATCTCATGATTTTTTTGCATACTGCTGAGAGATCTTTGAAAGTTTTCCTGACTAATTTATGAATTCTACGTACACTGAGAAAAACGAAAAACCTTTTTTTTTGACATTTTCAAAACCGTTTTGAGTTCATCTTGACAGGAAAGATTCTCTCAGAAAGAAGTGCTTGCATGATCTAATTTCAAACTGTCAAAGTCTGTCACTGGAAATGCATGAGGTATTGCCATGCATGAGTTTTTCGCTAAATGACAAACAAGCTGTTGAAATTTAACTGCAATTTTACCCCTCCCAGCCATCTGATGCTGATTTTGCAAGTATAACTCTGCCACATCTAAGTGATAAATTACTGTCCTTATAGACAAAACTAAGTGATAAATTAAAAGCCATATAGCCAAAACTAGGTGATAAATAAAAAGCCATGCAACTAAAACTAGGCGATAAATTGCAGAATGTAAGTCGAGGCATTAACCTTAAATTAAAACATGTATCCAACTCTACACTTGAAATGTGCGTTCCTAAAATCTTTCATTGATGCAGAATAATCCGAATCTAGACTATAGTCCGCCATGAAGGATCATGTCCTCTGAGAGTCATTCCGATGGAGAATTGACAAAGAAAGATTGGATAAGTCTGCTGATAAATTTACAGGATCTCCATGTTGGCGCAAAGTGAGGCAAAACTGAAGTTATGTGCTCCCTAGTGGGATTGTGATGTCATCAATTAGCTTCAGCATATTTCACTGTCTCATTTTTCTCATCAGTTCCATTCACTAAGTCTCTCAGTCCACAGATGAATTTTTTCACCGCCGGCATTTGCCTGTGCTAAAATATTCGACATAATCGATACTGTCATGATCATGAGCATAATGGGCACTCCAATTAAACTTGTTAAATTTCATCTGAAAGTTTGTCCGAATGTTTGGAAAAATAATCAATATGCATTTCCAGATTACATTTAAAAAGACATACCAGTAATAAGTCGTTTGAAAAATAATATTTTAAAACGTTTTTGTCAGAAAATCTTGAGAACATTTATTGGATGACAGCTTGTGTGAAGACGTTGATGGGAGTAGCAGTTCCGTGTCTGACACATTTCTTACATCCTCATAACCAGAGTTCTGCCCCATTTACTGGTCTAGATCATTGACATTTGCATGTAGATAATATTTTGACTACCGAACAGGGCCCAATTTAACTTTCTGATTAGTCACCCGGTTGCCATTGTGCGGAACAACCTTACTAGCACAATTGAGAAGTCTATATTGAGGGACTCATGATTACCTCAGCGGTAAGATTGTACAATGACACACAACGATAATGGTTGTTTGAGATGCCACAGTTCAGTGTTCAGTTGCCTCCCTTGGGTGTGCCAGAAACCGCTGATTGTTGGTTCAAATCCCTGTTCGCCCTGATTAAGTTTCTAGTTCGGAAGCACAAAGCGTGTAGTTTTCACCAGAGTGGCAAACATCTAAGCCTGGAATCACTTCAGGATCTTCTCCCACATTAAGCTGATATGCCGTGAAATGACTTAAATATTGTTCAAAGTGGAGATAAACCCAACTCACTCACTCATGACTGGGACTGATGCAATACACGTAGACCCTACAAAGTGAGTACATAATGCAAAACCATAGAAGTGACATGTCAACTTACAGTCTTATATTATAATAGGAATGAATAAAGATGCATTCAAAACATGTAGCCAACTTGTGTCATTTGATCTAACAATGTCTTCTGCCATAACAGATAGGATTTGAACCCCCAAAGAATAACTATTATAAACTGCACTAAGCCTAAAACACTGCAAACTTACAGTCTAAAACACAAGTATGGCACCCATATCAAACACATCACCATCACATAATAGCTTGTTTGCTCCATTTTTTCAAAATGAAACCTGTGTACTTCTTTGCCTAGGGGTTTAATTGAATTCTTGAGAAGATAGTATTTCACAATATTCTTATTTTGGAAGACTCTATTAGATTGTATCAACACAAAGCACCTAGACTTGCACAAGTTTCTCAGGCAATGATCATATCCTAGATGATATATAAATAACATCCCTATAAAAGCCCTCCTGAACTGTACACATATCCAGACCTGACTATTATAAGGACAGAATTATAATATATCCAAGGACTTATCATTCAGCAGAGACTTGCAGCAAGGCTAGACAATATCACACAGTAGTAACATCATATCACACATTGTGATGCTCAAGTACATTTAGGTGTTATTCCATCCCTCTACATCACAAGACCAACTGTACACCTGCAGGTACGACATTCTTTGATTCGAAGCATATTGAAACATATTGCCGACCTTCCCATTCACAGGATAAATCAAACATGGCTTTTATGGCTTAACACAATATGACATTTACCATTTAACATGCATCTGAGCTGAAGACTCAGTTAATCTGACCACCTTGTGGGAGCAAATATTGACAAGTGATGATCTTCAACATAGGAATCAGCGTGGCATGGGTTCATAACCCACCTTCAACAATAACCAGCAGGGACAGATGGATTGAAGCAGCACCAACAGCGGGATACACTGCCGTACCAGCTCAGTGTAAGCGCTTCTAGCATAAGCTGCTCAGATCCACTGCTGATGGCAGTAATCCCCTCCCTCTCCTGTCTCCGAATCCCCCTCGGCTGATCCTCTGATCACCCCTCCCTCCGTACCAGGAGACGCAGGCCTGGCAAAGGTCGGAGAGCATTCTAGGACAGCTCTTTTTCATTACCCTCTAAATGTTATTGTATATCATATCAAAGAAAGTCTTAACGTGCTAAGGTTGCATGTTGTTATGAAGTAAAACATCTTGGTCTTTGTGACTCTGGGTTCCTGCTAGGAATTCTGGTCAAGTTTCCTTCAGTTTGGTATGAATGCTGGTTCATGCATCTCCCAGAAGGATACGAAAGAATTGGATGAAACTGAACCATGTTGTTTCTATCTCTGATAGACCTATATCAACATCCTTTTCAGGAAAACGCTGGCAATCTGGTCATTCCAAAATATTTTTGTTTTGATCAGAAAATCGGACAGGTCTTTTTCATTCACAACCAGCTTCTGTCCAACATACCTATATCAAAATACTTATTGGATATGCCCAGGAATGTGGTCTTCAGAAAATGGGACAGATTTTATTTGCTTCCAGGAATGTACAAGTTGGGTATTGATCCTGGTAAGAGACTGACGTGAGTTACTTTCCATAAACAACATCCAAACTACTTACCGAAATGATGGTTTTGGCTTTCCCTCTGGTGGGAAGACCTTGACCTCAAACTTTTCATGGACAGGTACAACAACGGGATAATTAGCCCTGAGACGAGGCTCAAACGTCTCTGATGTAATTTCTCCCAGGGCTGAAAAAGAAAAACATCAGTCTCAATTTGGTGCTAAAGAATTTCCATAATTTACAATCACTGTTACGTTTTTTCGCTGAAACAGAAAATTATGAAATAACAGTTTTTGTAATCACGTTTATCAATTTCTGACATAAATGTGGTCGTAAGTTCAACTCAAAGTCTTGGCTATGACAGAAGCAGCAAGATGATGTATTTTTCATCATGATCCATCTCCTATTCATGAGCAAATGGTATTTTTATTCCATTGATTTAATGTTTTAATAATCTTCAGTTTTTTAAAGACAGGTGTAAATCTGTTGATCCATGCTGTCGTAATTAATTTGCATATTCACTTGCAAGGCACAGTATGATGCAGCCTAGCAGGTGCCCCTGGTCTGGGCTGAATGGAAGGCAGCTGATAACATCCTAATTCTTATCATCATATATCATTATAGTGTATGACATTCCACATCTTATCAGAGACCCCTACAGTCAACTTTATCAAGCTCAAAACTTTCAAGAACATTTGTGCAACTCAAGTAATATTTCTGTATAATTCTAAAAATTGCAAGTTGACATTATCTTCTGATAAACTGATATTAATAATATTGCCGTCATATTTTCATATGTCCCTGCACAGGAATTTCAGGGCGCCAAGTCCTGTCATTTCAAAACAATAATAAATACACCAATGTATCAACATTAACACTGTACATTTTTAACATGGGCATTTGATAGATCAGTCTGCATATACATTTCAAAAGACTGGAATATGGGAACTAGAAAGGGCTGTTGCAAAACATTTAATAACTTAAATAAGTTACACTTTTAAAATCTGTAAACATTAAGCACACCATACTGTGTTACATCATCGACGACATTCCCCACATCATCGACGACATTCCCCACATCACCAGTCTGTGATTAGGTTCCCCATCAGAATCAACAGTTCCAACCCCCTTCCCTCTGTGGATGATCAAACAGTCCATACAACAGTCTACCCTTATAAGCTGTAAGTAGCAAGGCGTGATGTATGGTTTTATTGACTTCAGCAGGAGCAAACTACTTCCCTGGAGCGCCGTATCAACCAGGTTTCCCCTGGATACAAGTAGACCAAGCTGATAAGTAAAGAAAGCTTATGTGATAAAACCATTAAACAGTAATTTATAGCGTCCATTTATTTACCATCAGGCCAAACATTTTTATATCTCATTTCATTCAGAATATGTAAATGGTTTAAAATGTGAGAAACTGGCATTTACAGAAAGTTGGGAGATGTTTTTAATATCTTTTTCAGCATTCCTTTTACACAGCCAGAGCTAAAAACAGTAAGTGCATACAATGGAGAATTGAAATACATTCGATATTGTATAATATCATACACTGGTTGTTATAAGCGGTTTGGCTGTGATTCCAGACTTCCAGGAACCATTCGTGAAAGTGGTTCTTGACACATGCTGCGTAATAAACTAGCACTGACAGTTATGTAAGGGAGACACCATGTCGGACAATGTCTCTAGACACTGCTGCTCCAAGGATGGTTGTATAATTGGGGCAGACAACCTTCCCAGCACCTGAGACAGACACCCTCACAACCCTCTGCGACAAGGATGGCTACGACCCCAGCGTCTGAAAGGACACGCTGACAACCTCTGCCCCAAGGATGGCTACCACCCCAGCGTCTGAAAAGGACACGCTGACAACCTCTGCCCCAAGGATGGCTACCACCCCTGCTGTCCACACAGGGAACAGGAAGTGAAGTTATTCCACCATGTTTTCAATTACATGACAAAATTTGTTCACATGTGTCGAGTGTTTTTCTTCCAAATCTTAAGATTCCACCATCTCTGAAGGATCAAATAAATATGGCAGCAAGGTGAAAGAAGACGCACTAGCAGAAATGATCGTGCCAGAATTAGGAGGTTCGACTTCAGGGCAATTTTCAGAATGTAGGCAAAAATGTAGGCCAGGTGGGGGAAATTACCTGCCATAGGAGCCAGAGAGTAGTTCGGACTGAAGGCGGACTTTGTGTCTCCCGAGACTGGGCTGTGTTTATTTGCGTGCTGCCATGAGCAAATATTCCTCTACATGTAGCTATTGTTTACAGTAACACTCATCTGCCTAAAACAACACTGGGTCTGATCTTCATATGTTTTGGTGTAGGCAAAAACAGGCTCTCAAAATTGCCAAAACTTTTTTTCCAGGAAATGAAAATGATAAAATGATGCCTGTCCATGTACCAGCTTTACTTGAAGTTTAATTCACACGATACTCAGTACACAAAAAATGGTTTTGTGTAGTCGGACAGCCGAGATCGAGGTTCTGCAACATTTCTCTGTATCCGCTGAAACCCTTAGGGAGCTTCTTGACCTTTTATCAGTAATCTCAAAACTTCACCTAGGTCTCACACACATGACAAATGTATACTGATGCTTGCCAGAGATTTAGCTTACTTGGTTTTGCGTTATGTTTACGAGTTCAAAAACTCCCAAACAGACCCAATGGCATTGTTTCATTCTTCATGCAGTATTTGTGTGAAAGAAATCCACATAATCAATATTTCCTTTCAGAAAATATTTTTGAAGGATAAAGAAATGGCTTTTTCTGTATAGAAGACGACTCTGACCTCCACGCTGGGAGTCAGCAGTTTTGTATGTGTGGGACGTCTTGAGCTGCGTCTCACTTGATTTACTGCGAGATTAGCATCAGGGCAGCAGCAAGCAGGGATTCTCTGGTAGCTCGTCTCAATCGTTTTGCACTGCTGTGAGACTAGTCACAACATCAAACTTCTTAAATCTCGGAAATGAAAGATGAATATTTAAGTAGGAGTATTTTATTAGAATTTCAGCATTCTTAAAATAATCTCAACCACTTTCTGGGCTTGAGACTTGGAGGTGTTTCAGATTTAGTACCTAATTGTATATATTTTTAATATATGGATGTCTCTCTACACAACTGTGAATTACATACCCTCGGTACTCAGGCAATCATGATGCAACATGAACTGCACTATATATTTGATGACAAATGAAAAACAAAACAAAACTATACTGGTGGCAGTAAATATGTTGACATATGCTGCGAAACATATATTCTTTATTTAGACATCAGGGATCATTCACCTATTAAATCAACATTTGGGGATACCAACATCTAGTATGTTTAACTGACATGGAAATACTTCTTTCAACACATTTATAAACAAACAATAAATCTTCTTCTTCATAAATTCTGTTTTGCAACATTTATATCCTGATTTTATAACCCAGAGATTTGACTGAAAGAAATATCAAGACTGACATCCAGTCTCTGAAATGAACATATTTTACAGAAAAATATAAAACGTTTCCTAAGTTAAATTAAATTAAAAGGATCACAGAAACTTTCTTCATTTTAGATCTGAAACTGTGGTACTCTAGACTTGCATGGGCTATATTGGGTATATTTGTGTCAGGGTCTGTATGACAGATTAAAGAAACTGTGCACCTGATGATTCCTGACATATCCCATATCTTCTTATTATCACATGAACAAAGAGAGGTCAAATAATTCAAATTAATTTAAATTTGCAAGTACCTAAAGAATTTGAGTTTTAATCCATGTTCTATTTAATGCCAAATTTGACAATATTCAAGCAATAATTGACATGTAAATAAGTGAGTTTTACAAGAGACAATTCAATGGTTGATATTGTGAGCAATGACCTATGCTGTTAGACTAACCTGACACCTATCCTGACCACCCAATCCTCTTGGTCTTATAGTCATCATGAAGGTCCGGTTAGAATGAATGTAACCTATGCTTGTTGTAATGACTAACGGGATTGGGTGGTCAGGCTGCTGATTGGTTGACACATGTCATCGGTTCCAAATTGCGCAGCTCGCTGCTCATGCTGTTGATCAAAGGATTATCTGGACCAGACTCAATTATTTACAGACTGCCGACATATAGCTGGAATATTCACTCACTCACTCTTATAGTCATCATTGGTTGCTAGGGACCAGTTCCAACCACATTCTGGTTTAGATCATAAATCAAACCACTAGCTCAGTTGGGGGGAGTTAAAACTTGTTACATCTATATACGGGAGGACACCATAGGTGAAGAAACCAGAGGGTCAATAATTGTATCACTTCATGATCAAATCTAGCTTTACCAATACTAACAACACTCACGTCAGTTTGTAATTCTCAAGAAATTCTATCAAAATGAGATTGTCAATATCTCTGTGACTGCATGATTGGGAAGGAGTCCAACACTTAACCTCAACATCTACCCTGACCTGATTAAGATTACTGCCAAGGGTTGCACGATTTCATTTGCAATTGCGATTGCCTATATCTCACGAGTTGAGTTCCCTGATCTATCTCTAACCCAGATGCTGACAGGCCCATGTTTGATCAATATATTTCCTTGTTTCATTCCTATCTCTGTTTGGGAGGGTACTGACAATCTCTTGGCCTCATTTGCCACTTATTTGCCAATCTTTGGCAATGTCGCAAATTAATCACATCGTCTGTCAGTGTTTTTTGCTACTTTCAGTATGTGAAGCATTATTTACTAGGAGACAAAGACGGTTGTAATTACACCTTGAGCTACTCGATCCTATCCCCAATTCCTGCAGACCCCGATCCACCTCTCCAACATTGATAGATGGCGCCATATTCACCAAGATAGATACAGGCAACCTTCCAGTTTAATCACCAAGTCATTCTACAAGCACAGAAGTGGAAAAGATTGTTATCCTTGCTGGCGGGTATTGCAGATCCATGCCATGAATGGCAATTCAGTAACATCTTATAGATGTATTCTTGATTGAACCTGTCAGCCATCTTTGTTGGCTATTGCCATTCTTGACATCGGAAACTAATAGGGTGAACACTTACATTGACAATGTCCGTTTGTATTTCATATGCGGAATAATTGTAGGACACAAATATCACAAACTGTCAGTTCGTAAATTGAAAATATGAATGATTACAAAGTTCCGCTAAATCAGGTTCACGTTTACTTAATCT